ACTGTACTAATGCAATATATTTTATGCCTCTGCATGATCAGCCTCACCTCCATTTTTTGCTTTAATTTTCGCCAGTATTCTCTTGGGGCCTTACATCCATGAATTGCAGAATGGTATTGAAGAGAAAAAGAAGTTTATATTGTTTATTGTATCATTGTGTCAATTCTAGTTTTGTGTATGTTTGATCTTGAAATTGAGATTAATAAATTCCTCTCAGCTAGTTAGAATTTTTTTCTTCGTAAACTCGTTGATTTTATGTTTGGCGTGAGCAAGAAGAGAAATGGTTATTTGAGAGGAGGATATTCACATTTGACTCCTCTTTGTTCCCCATTATGCCTATTTATAGATTTCTGATGAGGTCACGAGATAATTGAGTCCATTTTTGTTGATGACACATGCCAGTAATTGATTAAAGAACTTCTAACTCAATTTATTATATTTTCACGTTTTATTCATCGGTTCATGTGTTCTTCATTCAGGTGTGAAGTTTTACACTTTTATTCATGCGTGCTTTGATAATGTTTTTGCTGACGTGAAATAGTTGATGAAGTTAATTACAAGAATATTTGCTTGTAATTTATGCCCAAGGTTGGTTATAAGATTTTGCATTGCAAGTATTTGCTAGCATTATCCTGAGCTCACACATGGTCTATTGACTTGAAAAGAAAAAGAGTTCATCAGCAGATGCACAGGTTGGCTACTCATTCTTTGTAAATTTTAATTGATAGCAAATACTCTTCGAAGTTGAGTCTAATTATTTATTTTAGGCTTAGGACTTTGTTTAGGTTCTGCGCTAAGCGAACCTAATTTTTTTATTTTATCGGAATGTTTGAACTATCAAGATTAATTTTGTTGAGATCCAACAGTTAGAATCTGGTGCAATGGACATTGTTGTAGTTTCCTTTTAGGCACTGAGAGTATCTTTGCATTATTATCTTTACGATGCGAAAGAGGAAAAATAAGTTCATGGAATGTTTTTCCAAAATGATTCTCAAATTATGCTATGGCTTTGTTTAGGGATGATGGTGTTCTATCATCATCATCGTCTTTGGCGATTCCACTGTGTCCTCCTATTGTGCCTCTTATAGTTGTTCTGATATATGGGAAGTGTATGAGTCAGCGGGCCTTTGGATTGAGATGATTCTCTCTTTGCAGCATCTTCAGTAAATATCTGAAATTAAGAAACAGGCAAAAAGGCTAACCAATTGGATGCAACCACTTTCGATTACATTTGCCATGTTTTTCCATTTTCCATTTATGTACGTCTAGGAGGAATCAGTAAGGGTGAAGAGGCGTTTCGTAGGTGGGTTGCTGCGAGGGCTGAACAACGAAACCGTCAAACTGCAAAATCGAATTGAAACCGATTTTTTGAAACCATTTGTTTGGATCCACGTGGATCCCGTAAACGTTTTGATTTTGAATCGAACTGAACCAAACCGCTTCAAAGGTTGTAATCTTTGCAAACCATTTCAAACCATCAAACCGTTTAAAACTAAATTTGAAAATAAATTAATTTAAATTTTATTCAACCCAATTAAAAAGATATTCACATTTGACATAACCTAATTAAACTCAATTCCTAGATAGGTAATTATTCTTCCCAATTAATTAATTAAATCATACCCAAATACCCATCAGTTATCACAATTGTGATGCAAAACTCTCAAATTGGGTAAAGTGTTGAACAAGTGCTGCTGAACAATATTCATCGATCGCCCATTACCATTGAGTGGAAAATAAAATCTAGATAATACTTCAAACTCACACATTTCTTTTCCTTCTATTAATAATTTTCTCAAATTTAGGACAAATTTTCAGGCCAACTTATCAATTTTTTTTGGTAATTGTTTGCTATATTTTATTTGGTAATGGTGTTGTTTTGGTATAAATTTTGCCGAACTGCCTTAAATTTTAGTAGAGAACATTTTTTGTTTATTTACGTCTCAATTTCCTAGTCAGGTCACTCAATTAATTATTTACTTTTTAACTTAACTTCTAGATTTTATTAGAATGATTTAGTCTATTACTTAAAAGATGCTTTGAAAATTTGACCAACTGGCCTTTTGACATATTACTTCGATGAAAATTTTTTGTTGATAATTTTTTTTGCTGGTATATATGATTATGTTACTTTTTTGTGTCAACAAATACATCTAGTAATTGAATTGCAACTCTTTGCAAATGAATGATTTTTTTAATCTCTTGCTCACATTGATTGCTGCATGAATCAAAATGAGATAGAGTTGTTTCATTCAAAAAAATTTTACCTTATTTATTAAGATGTAGATTTTCCCCTCCCAAAGTTGGGAAAGTCATTTCATCAAAATGACAATATGTAAAACGTGCAGTAAATAAATTACTAGTTAAATGTTCAGGATATCTAATAATAAATGGTGAGTCACAATCCACATAAATCTCAAGTCTTCCTTGGGGACCCATTTTAGTCGGTTATGAGGGTGAAATAGGAACTTGAATAGCACAACAAAAAATTCACGGGTGAGAAATATTAGGTTCATAACCAAATGCCCACTGTAAATATGAATATTGATAATATACAGTTGGTCTGATACAAACCAATGACGTAACATGTAATATGGCTTGACCCCAAACATAAGTTGAGAGTTTTGTTTTCATAAGTAATGATCTAATAATAAATTGTAGACGTTTAATAAATGACTCCGCTAAACCATTTTGTGTATGGACATGCACAACCGAATGTTAAACAACAATCCCAATGACATGCAATAATCATCGACTGCTTGCGATCTAAACTTTCCAGCATTTTCAAGACGAATAGTCTTGATTAAGTAATAGGGGAATTGCGCTCGTAATTTTATGATTTGAGCAAGTAGTCTGGCAACATTACATTCCTAGTGAAAAGTAGGCAAATATGTGACCATCCAGTAGAAGAATTAATTAATACCATAAAATAACGAAATGATCCACATGGTGAGTTTATTGACCCATATATATCTCCACGAATCATTTCCAAAAAAGTTAGATATTTAATATTGACCTTTGTAGCTGAAGATCTGATGACTAACTTGCCTTGTGAACAAGTTACACATGAATGATTATTAGGTAAAAGGATCTTCTAGACACACATGGATGAATTAACATAATGATTGTGCACATAACAGAAACCGATGAACATGATTGCGCACAATTAGCCCTCGTTTGACACCCATTTTTTTATCTCATTCTCATTCTCATATTTCTACGGTACTCATTTCTAACCACACATTCTTCAAATAAAATAATATTACACATAAACCCAAAAATTCTTCTTACTTTTTAACCACACATTCTTTACATCAATCACTATTCAAAAACTCATTCTTCAAAATAATGGGTGCCANCCCTGTTTGACACCCATTTTTTATCTCATTCTCATTCTCATTTTTCTACAGTACTCATTTCTAACCACACATTCTTCAAATAAAATAATATTACACATAAACCCAAAAATTCTTCTTACTTTTTAACCACACATTCTTTACATCAATCACTATTCCAAAACTCATTCTTCAAAAGAATGGGTGCCAAACAAGCAATGAAACCAATTAACTTAAATTAATTTACATAATTACGGCGCATAATGAATTCACAGAAACCAATTAACATGTGTGTCTATCTCTCTCATCACGTTACAGAGCTATTAGAGAGAGAAAGCTCTTGAAATAAAGATCCATATTCACACATCCTTTTCCGAATATCGAAATTGGCTTTAAAACAAATTCACTCAATTGACGTGTTATGCTCATATGTATATGTATAAAAAAAAAAATTCACATTTTACCAAATTAATTTTGATACACGTGATAAATGATTATATTTCAAAAAATTACTATATTTACTTGACTTGGAAGAATTAAGCGTTCGTGCTGATAACATGTTATGAAAAGAGAAAAAAAGAAGAGAGAATAAGGGGCTGTCTGTCGGCGCTTAAAATCAGGGAAAATTGGGTTTTTTTAACTGTTACATTACAAAAAGTGGGGCCATCATCTCATAAAATTGGTCAACACTTGCGGCACAACGTTCCAAATTTTGATTTCAACCCAGTCCAGACAGCCCATAAAAGTCAATAGACTTGTGTGTA